TGATCGGCGAAAGGGTGGATATGAGAGATGAGCGGCTCTAAAGTTAATCCCTAGCTAATGCTTGTATCTTTTTTTTCCTAGGGTTAGGGACGGGTGGGCTGTGTAAGCGCTTAGAGGGTTGGACCGAGGCCCAGGTTCAGTTGTGGTAAGGGGTGAAGTCTGATATGTGGGCTGCATATATTAATTCGGTTGTTCGGTTCTGTGATCGGAATTCCGGTTCGGTCGAGAGGAACTTGGTTTCCGAAATACGCCTATCTTCATTCTGAATTCCGAACCGAGCAAAAATATTTTGGTTTTTGTTTAAATTCGGTTCAGATCGGTTCGGTTCGGTTTTACCGAACCGGATGCCCACCCCTATGAGAAAGGGTAGTAAGATACAAAATTATATACTGTAAAAATCACTAAAAATATCTATATAAATTTATCGTCGTCATTATATAACGATCGAAATTAGACACTCTGACGTGGAGGGGGCACAGACAGAGGCGGAGGCAGGGGTTCGGGCAGTGTCCCGTGACACCGGTACTTTTGGTAAAAAAAACCCCCAAATATGTAGAATTTAAGGATTGAACCCATGATCTCTAGGTTGATTAAAAGTACTTTACCACAAAACTACAAGCTTATTCTTGCTTAAAAGAAGGCACAGGTATTTTTGAATGAATTGTTTAGATATTAGTTTTAATTATATTAATTATTTATTTATATTATGAAAATAGGACATGAGCATTTTTGAATTCTGGCTCCGCCACTGGGTACAGAGGTAATTTTCTTCTTCTTTGACGGACACAAAAACTAATAGGAGAGAAGAGAGACTTTCGACTAGTCAAATGCTACCTTTTCTAATTCCTATTTCTTAATCGGGCCACATCTCTTTCGTTTTAGCTCATAATTTAAGAAATTTGTATAGAAAAATGCACTGGTTAATATATGCATCATGATATCCATTTTACTATACTTTTACCAAAACAAAAAATTATCTCCTTAAAACATGTGTTGGTTGTAGTATTATCACTATCATATCGTGTGATATGATGACATATCTCTTTCATTTTAACTGATAATTAGAAAATTATTTAAAAAGAACTCATTGATTATGATATACACAATGATATCCATTGTGAGAAAAAATATGTGTTTGTTGTCATCTCTCACTATCATTTGCATGCATATCAATATATTACCATTGTAGTAAGACAGACTATCATACCATTATTGTATCATGATATTATCATTGTGATAATATCATGGTGTGATAGAGGTATGATGACATTGATTTTTTTTTTTTTTGCTAAAATATAGGATTTAATGTTATCTTATCACAGTCATACCAGCATCAAATTACTATGATAAGGCTTCATAATATCATCTCATCGTGGTCATACCATGATCGTACAACTATAATATCATTGAGCAAAAAAACATGTGTTTGCTGTAATTTTCTCACATCATATTCTTACCATTGTGATAAACAAACAAAAAACCATCATACCGGTATCATATCATGATAATAATATTGTGGTAATATCGTGATATAATAGTGGTAATATGATATGAAAATTTTTTGTTCAAAAAGAATATCAAAATGGATATCATATTGTAGAGCACAAAAAATTGATAATTATACTCATTTTTTTTAATCCAATATAAAACAAATGAGTTATGATTCGTTGAATATTCATAAGCGATTTGGCAACTGAAAATTTGTGCATACCCAAAAAAAATTGGACCAGCTGTCTTGTAACACCTTAGGCGAATCCCACATGGACTAAGCTCGGGAGAGATTCATGGTTCATAAGTAAGAAACCGACCTTAACTGTCAAGACGCGTTTTGGGGTGAATGTAAAAGTTCTTGTGAGAACTTCGAAGTTAAATGTGCTCAGTGTGGAGTACAACAAGGATGGGTGACCTTATGAGAAGTCATCTTGAATTGCACTCTAGTCAAAAACCGTGAGGGGTGAGACCCGAAGCAGACAATATCTTCGTCGGGAAAAGGTTTCAGGACGTTACTCCCCAAATATAGGAAAAAAAGAGAAAGGAAACACACAATTTAAAATTGAGCCGCCTACACCAAATCAACTTGAACTTTAAATTCAAATGTTGACAAAACTACCTCTCCCCCAATTAAGAGCATCCAGATTGGTATTTCATTCTCAATTGCAAAATGACATGGCATAGGTGTTTGCAATTGCAAACCAATTGCATTGATGTGGCTACCAATTGCATATTTGCAAGCTTGCAACAAATGCAATTCCATATGCAAGCCACAAAAGCCTACAAAAATAGGGATTTTATCATTTTTTATATTGTTTTATTCTCTCTTTTACTTAATTTTATAATTTAAACATAATATTTAATTACATTTGCAATTGTAAGTTAATTGCATTGATGTAGGTGAATGAAATGAAGGTGATGTGGATTGCAAAAAAATTTGAGTTGACAATAAAAAATACAAATGCAATTTCTTTGGTAATTGCATTGATGGAGATGCTTTAAGGAAAGAGAAAGGTAATGTCTTGAAGGTATAATCCTCTTCCCCTAAAAAAATCAGTTTAGGGTTTGTTTCGTTTCTCTAATTGTTTTTTGAGATTGTTAATATGTTTTGCGTTCTATAGAATGCATAATTTGTATGCATATACAATACATGTATTGTGTACGTGATGTAACAAAAAATCATTCAAAATTAATGTATATATGATCTCAGCTTTGATATGAAGTAATGAAAGAAAGGGAACCATTGGGAATACATGACCCTAGAAAGATTTATTCTTCTATGGTTTTACTTTGATCGTATCTACTAATAGGATCATCTTGTCCCAAATTTCATTTATCGTTGTTTTTGGACAATGATTGATTGTCAATTCATAGAACGATACGAGTACAAGGAACTAAAACCAAATTACAGCATATGCTCAATAATACCAAGCACTTGGACCCAATCATAGTTAAGTAGATTCCTTAGCCGCTTCCTTTGCTACCCAGTCAGCATATCTATTTTCCGATCTTGGAATATATGCAATTTTTTATCTCATCATTTGAGTGAAGGATTTTGGCGCATCCAAAGAATCCAAGCTCTAACTTGCCAAGGACCCACTTTCGAGGGGTTTAGAATGCTTTCGACCAAAAGTGGCAGTCTGAGAGGATGATAGTCGGTCCACTTAAGGACTCCGCATGGCACATTGTTGTTAACAAAGCTTTAGCTCCAGCTACTATCGCCGATGAGCAGAACAGAGTACCAGCAGAACCGTCCACAACTTGCCCATGGGTGTTTTTAATAACAATCCCATACGCCGCCACCTGTGATTCCGATCTATAAGATTCCATCCCAATGTATTTTCCAATGAAAAGTACCAGGCGGTAGGCACATGTAGACTGGTTCGATGAATACTGGAACTGAACAGTAGGGGTGTCGACGGGGGAGAAAAAGTCCACTCCGTGAAATAGCGCACCGCATTAGAGGAGGTGATGAAGGTTTTCTGGAGGATACCCTTGAAAACACGCTCATTCCGAGTAATCCAAATAGCCCACAGGGAAGCTGTGATTGCCGGAATGGACCTGTCAGGGTAGACTTCATGGATGTGAAACAGCCACATTACGATGGGAGTAGTGCCCTGGGGAGACTGAGAGATGGGAAAAGAGAATGCCAAACCCGCATCGCATGGGGGCAAAAGAAGAGGCAATGCATCACATCCTCCTCAGCATTCTCACAAATCGAACAAACCGGTGATGGGCTACACCTTCTTGACCACAGATTCCTCTTAGTAGCAATTGCATTCCTCGACAACCTCCAAATAAAATAGATGGATTTAGGTGGGAGGGAAAGGCTCCCAAAGCCATTTCCAGGCTTTTAGTGGAGTAGCTTGGATGATTTGGATCCGGAGAGCCCACACGCCTTCTTTCAGCGACTCGGAAAACAAGGTATGCTGTCCTCACAGAAAAGTTTCCTGATTTTTTCATAATGCCACACCCAATCATCCTCCGCAGGATCCGGGGCAATCGGATCCTTCAAATGGCATCAAACTCCTCAGGTGTGCACTGTTGGCTGATGAGGTCAAGATTCCACTCACATTCATCCTCCATTACCCATTGAAAGGCCCACAATTGTTGTCGTTGGGAGGGAGAAGCTTTAAAGTTTTCAATACCGGAATCCAAGGATCCCCTCCAATGAAATATTTCTTCCTCTTCCCATATTCTTCCGAGCCCCCAGCTTAAGGACTACTTTAGCTTCACATATGCTCGCCCATATCCATGATGGTCTCGTCCCTTTTCAGCCTCCATGAAATCAGAGTTAGGAAAATACAGAACTTTCAAGAGTTTTTCCAAGTATCATCCCCTACCTTGAGAAATCTCCATCCCTGTTTTTGCCAAGAGAGCCATGTTGAATTGATAGAAATCCTTATAACCCATTCCTCCTTCCTGTTTCGGTGTTGTTAGAACACTCCCTTTTCGTCATGGAATTTTGGATTTTTCCATATAACCTCCCCAGAAAAAAGTCTTGAGTCTCGAATCCATCCGCTGAGTAATCCCCTTTGGAAACAGGAAACATGACATAAGGAAGGTAGGGTACCCCTGGTAAATTGATTTCAGCAACACTTCCTTCCCTGCATGAGAAAGTGCAAGACTTTTCCAAGATTGGCCCAGTTTCTCCATTCTGTTGCCCCATTCAGTTGGGACTTCCAAATAATTCCCAAAACCTGAAGCCCATTTATCGTTTAAAGCATGAGTATCTTCCCAAATTCTTCTCACACAAATGCGCATTCAAAATGTGCATGTGCTTCAACTTGGTGTTTAGTTTAGATCTTTCAATTCTTCATCCTTCCATTTATCCATGAATTCTAAGGCTTTTCTCGTGTTCTCAATTGATATTCAACCATACATCCTAAACTATAATTAAAGATATAAGTACTTTACTGTTGCATAAGAGTTCCTCTAACCTACACTACTGCCATCTAACTTTGCTTACCTGCTAATGTTTTGTCAACACATGACTATTGTACTAATCAGTGGAGGATGAAGGCTTTTCTATTTTTACCTTCAATGTGAGCTCCACTCTCTATGTCCTATCTTTTATTTATACCCTTCTACTTCTCTAAAGAACTTGACGAATTTCCATTTTCCGTTTCATATTCCTTGCCCAATCATTAGGATTAGGGTCTGGAGAGATTTATGAGTACTATTTAGCTTGATTTCAATCTCTTAATTAATTGAGGGCGGGAGTTATTTTTAATCCGGTTCATAATAGTGGATTTTTTTTTTGACAAAAGATAATCAATAGATTGAAGTAAATAGATCAGTACATCCTGGAATACAGCCAGGCCTGGAAATCAAAAGATCGACATGCAGTCGAGAACAATGACAGGGCCTGTCTAGCTACCAAATGAGCTACCCTATTGTTTCTTCGACCTACAAATCGCACCGAGAACCCTACATTAGACGCAAATGAATTGCCTATCTCTTCCAAAATAGCCCCGATCTGATTGTCCCGAACATCCTTCCGGAGAATCTTCTCAATAACCACCAGGGCATCACCTTCAAACCTCATGATAGTGAATCCATTCGCTAAACACCATCCAATCGCCTCTCGGAGAACCAAAGCTTCCACCATCATTGGATCAGTCAGAAACGGGAGGTGAATCCCCTTGGCAAGGATGACATCCCTGTCCGAGTTAAGGATAACCATCCCCCCCGCCGCATGAGACCCCATTCGCACTGCCCCATCCCACATACAAATCGCCGTGTCAGGTCCCTCAGCCAAAAGCGCAGGGGTCATGGGGGGAGCACGAGGGCTAGACTGATCACGGTGTACACCAAGCCATTCCTGCACTTGCTGATGGAACTGGCGCATCAGGGCAGGGATCCCGAACTGTTTCCCTTCAAAGACCACCCAATTCCGGGAACGCCAAATCCGCCACAGAAGAGCCACCAAAGACATTACCAGAGCAGGGTCACGCACTACCGCCAGCAACCTCCTAAGGAAGAGCGGGAATGAATGACGAGGCAACGCAGCACCCAGGTGGGATAGCCCAGAGTGGTCCCACAAAGCCCGAGCCACTGGACAATCTAAGAACAAATGCTCCAGAGTTTCCGATTCCGCCCAGCACACCGGACATCGAGGCAAAACATCCACCTTCTTCCCACGCAACGCTTCCGTAGTAGGAAGAATACGATGAAAGATTTGCCAACCAAACACCCTAAGCTTAGGCGGGATATCTGCCTCCCACAGCCTGACCCAACTAGGTTTATCCATCCAACTAACCGAGGCCCTCCATCCGACCATTCTGCCTATCCAAATTTACCGCGACATAGTACGCAGACTTAACAGAGAAGACGCCATCCGACGTTGGATGCCAAATCAGTTTATCTGCAATACTCTGGCGCGGCAAAGGAATGGCCTTGATGGCTTTACAGGTAGCTGGATCAAACCACTGATTGAGTTTTTGATCATTCCACTGCCCCTCCCCCGCGTGGATCACCTCCGCCACCTTCAAACCCTCCCCCTCCGAAACCACACACGGGTTGTAGATCGGAGGACAAGGATGAAGCTGGGGAACCCAACTAGAATTTAACATGGGAGCTTCCTGGCCATTTCCAATTTGCCACCTCATCCCGGACTCCAACAATTGCCGGCCAAAGAGGATGCTTTGCCACCCCCAAGAAGGACGAGACCTAGCCTGAGCAGTAAGAAACGACCCATTGGGGAAATATTTACCTTTATACACCTGGGCAAGAAGGGACTGGGGTTCTTCAAGAATCCGCCAACCGATTTTAGCCAGCAAAGCTTGGTTGAACCACTCAAACCTGCGGAACCCCATTCCCCCTTCATGTTTACTTCTGCAAAGGTTCCTCCAAGACATCCACCTGATCTTGGACTTATCTTCTTCATCACCCCACCAAAAGCGGGCCACATGCTTGTCCAGCAGGCGACATAACGCCCGCGGAAGCTTAAAACATGACATAACATGTAATGGAAGAGCTAGAGCTACTGATTTAATCAGTGTTTCTCTAGCTGCCCACGACAACGTTCTCCTCTTCCACCCTTGCAACCTAGCCAGAAGCTTCTCCTCTAGGTAGCGAAAAGTAGCCATTTTAGACCGCGCTATCAGCGAGGGGAGGCCTAAATACTTGTCGTGAACACCCACCGCCCCTACTCCTAGAATTGCCGCCAAGAACTCCTGATCCTCCATCGCAATATTTTTACTGAAGCACACAGCCGATTTTTCAAGATTAACACGCTGGCCACTCAGCTCCTCATATTCATTAAGAACTTCAATCAGATTCTCACATTCTTGGAGGGAACCCCGAAGAAACAGGTAAGAATCATCAGCAAAGAACAAATGGGAAATACGGGGAGCCCGAGGAGCCACCTTGACACCTTGCAATTTCCCTTCCGAGATAGCTCGACGAAGGAGAGCCGCAAAACCTTCTGTGCAGATGACAAACAGAAGGGGGGAAAGCGGGTCACCCTGTCTAAGTCCTCTGGAAGGGGAGGAAAAAACCAGCTGGGGTCCCATTCATGAGGACCGAAAAAGAAGAGGATTGAAGGCATTCCTGGATCCATCCACGCCAGACCGAGTTAAACCCCATCTTTTCCAAAACCCCTAAGAGAAAGGGCCATTCGACTCTATCATAGGCCTTTTCCATGTCAACCTTTAGAGCCATATATCCCTTCTTCCCACGGGTTTTGATTTTCAGGTAGTGCATTAACTCATGTCCTAAGAGAATGTTGTCCACAATTTGCCTTTCCCGAATAAAAGCATTCTGACCATCAGACACAATTTGGGGCAAAACTTCAGCAAGCCTTCCTGCCATGATTTTAGTTATGACCTTATACACAAACTGGCAGAGGCTGATAGGCCTCAACTGACGCATAGAATCAACTTGATCCACTTTCGGAATCAAAGTCAACCAAGTATGATTAAAGCTCCGGAGCATCCTACCCGATTCAAAAAACAACTAACCGCTCGAATAACTGAATCCCCAACTATACTCCAAAAAGATTTGAAAAACTTCCCCGTAAACCCGTCAGAACCTGGCGCCTGCTTAGAACCCATAGAGAAAACAGTATCCCGTATCTCTTTAGGGAGAACTTCGGCAGTCAGGTTGACATTCATCTCTGGGGTAACACAAGGGTCTATGGGGAGAGCATCCACCCTTTCGTTCATATTCTCAATCTGATTATCTGAGGTGAATAGGGAATGATAAAACTTCGTAGCAATATCGGCCTTTCCACGTTCCTCCGTGATCCATTCCCCATCCTCATTAAACAGCCCATGAACAAAATTTCGCTTACGATGAGCCCTCGTGACCGTATGGAAATATGCCGAATTTCTATCCCCTTTTTTCAACCAGGTAACACGGGATTTTTGCTGCCAATAAGCCTCCTCAGCCTCCCATTGCCTATTCAGTTCAGTCTCCAAACGGGCCACCTCCTGCCAATCAATAGGTTGCAAAGCCTTTTGCCGATCAATCTCTCCTTGCAAAGTATGAATATTTCGCAGAGAGTTAGTGGTACCAGCTCTACTCCAATCATACAGCAAATGGCGGAGTTTCTTAAGCTTTTCCCATAGTTGAAACATTGGGGTACCCGGAACATTTTCTTGCCAAACATATTCCACCATGGCCTTAACTTCAGGGTTATCAGCCCAACGAGCATCAAACCGGAAAAGAGGGCGGCAACTCCGCACATAAGGTTTGTCCGAGAGGAGCAAAGCTCTATGATCAGAGCCCTGATCCGTGAAGTGCTTAACAAGGGTTTCCGGATAACGATCTATCCAGTTTTGAGAGCAGAGAGCTCCAATCATAATAGTGGATAACGTTTGGGTTTTATGGGTTTTTCTCTAATATCTTTTTGCTTAAGTCATTTAATGTCAAATGACTCATTTGCTAAAGAAAAAGTGCATGAGTCATTTCATCCATACGAAAATCTCAAATGACTCTATCGAATCATTTCCCGACTTATTATTTAGCCTTAAATTTTCAGCTATGTCCTTACCTATTTTATGTAAACCCACTTCCATCCTTCTCCTATTATGATTTATTTTTTATGTCATTGCTTCGTCTCCTCTTGGAATTGATTTTTGCTTTCCCACAAATTTCACAAGCGGCGCATCTTTTTCGTTCACAAACACCACCATTTGTAATTAGCTTAAAATTTGAGACTTGTAGAGGTTATCTTTTATAAAGAAAGTTAACATATAATTATTATATAAAATTAGAAAGTAGTATTTTACAAGGAAAACACCAAATAATATGTTTTGTTGGTTGTAAATGATTTTCTTTACGTCGTTGATTTTATTAGAATAGGAAACAAGATAATGGAACATATTAAATGTAAGGAGCACAATGGTAACACTATACAAATGACTCATCTAAAAATGTCTCATCTAAAAACTTTTAAACAAACAATACATTTGCAATGTCTACATTCCCAAATGGCTACATTTGAACAAATGAATCATTTTATAAATTAAATGACTCATGCAAACGTTGGCCAAAGCTGTAGTGGAAATCAACCCTAACTTTAGATACAATATTATGGAGAGTAGATTGCTCCCTGCATATGTGTTTGCGGTGAGATTTGAGTTGGTATTTATGTGACCATTGTGCTCTGTCGCAGGTTCTTCTTCCCGACTCTGCCTCTGTTTCTTTTCTTTCTTGGCTGATCCATATAGTTGGTGCGTTTATATCGATTATCAGCTTACATGACACGACACACATCAATCCTGAAAGAGTATCATTATGAAGAAGCCAACAATGGCAAGGCCCAAGGGTACTGTTACAGGGGAAGAAAGTTCATGTGACTGCAAAGAGACGGTTTGAAAATCTAGGGGCTCTTGCATTTAACTGAAAGCGAAGTTTTTGTGTCCAAATATATACCCATATAACCTGCATAACATTTCTCACAAACTCATTTAGAATCCAGAAGTTCAAACTTCACGCCCTCATCTATGGGCTAATGGACAACGAACCTGAGACCAATCTAAGGCCGCAGCAAAGTGCGGCAAATACTATCTAGTTCATATTGTAAACTTACTAGGAATTATTCATGCTACTTTTCAAAAATGCATAGTTGTTACCGTCGAATTTTGACGACTCTGTCGAGGATTTCCCGCCTACTTGATTTATGAGTGGAGAATGACCAAGTAGTGGATGTATTAATGAGCCTTCCATCATCTTACGATGTGTCTTGGCTTAGAAGTTAGAAATCTCGCTCAACATGATTCGTTGTCACTTATTGTAAATAAGGTTAGCGACTTATGCGTAATATGAAGTGAGCAACTTTACTTTCCGGTGAATGATTGCTCGATCTTGATTGAGAACTAATCAAAAGAGCCTATTACTGAAAAGATAAATGTATGTATAGGAATACAATGAGAAGCGATCTTTTTCGCCGGTGTTTGGTGGTGGTGCAATGTTTTACTTGCCAGCTTAAGGTGGCTTTCCCTCGAAACTTAACTATAATTTGAATTTAATCCAATCTAAACACAAATCGATTCTCTATCAATCTCATCAAATCTTCCCGCGTTCTCTCCATTCACAACCGAAAGACATTTTTTATTTGGGTAAATAAAATATATTAGCCATAACTATTAGGCAGCGGAGAATTATAGCCACAACTGTCGAAATACAAATTATTAGCCATAACTATTGTTGCGAGTCAAGATTTGGCTAACAGCTCGTTACTATTTTCAAATTTTTAACGGAGAAGCTCATGTCAGCATCGTAAAAAATATGATATAATGACTGCCACATGGGAGCCAGCTCAACATCGTAAAAGCTTAGTCATCATTACTAACAGAAGCTTTAACGAAAACTTAACGGTTGGCTAATAATTTGTATTTCCATGGTTGTGGCTATAATTCCCCGTGCTTAATAGTTATGGATAATATATTGTATTTACTCTTTTTATTTTTTCAAGAAGCTTTTCCCGGATTCTCTCAACCACACTCAGGGACGGAGCCGGCTAGGGGCCATGGCCCCCCCTAAACTTATTAATATCAGCAGAAGTGAAGTATTAGAACAAAGTAGTGGCTTAGTGCAGTTGTACAAAGGTTGATTGTGATAGTGGAGATGAGGGTTCAATGCTAGCCTTGTGTCATTTTTATGTTATTTTTTGCTTAAAATTGGCTTTCCCCCACAAATAGTGGCTTAGTGCAGTGGTACAAAGCTTTTCCCGGATTCTCTCAACCACACTATTCCTCTTATCTTTTTATTCTTCTTATAGCCTTGCTCTCTCTATGAAATCTTTCTATATGAGCACAAAACTTTCGTGCAATTACAATATTGAGGAACAAGGTATTGCATATTTAATTTAAAAAGTTAGAGAAATTTTGGCATTTACTTAGGAAATGAAAGTTTCAAAAACAATTACCGATAAAATAAAAAGTTTCAAAAACCAATTTCACCTATAATGTTCAACTTCAGCTCTTGTTGGATGGTGGGAGAATCCTCTTTGGGTTTGGTGAACTGGTTCCTTGTTCTGGCACATGGCGGCGGCGACTTGTGAAAGCGGCGTTGTTGGGTGTCTTTTCGCGGAGGTTGTTTCGGCCGCGACGATGGATGTTGCAGAGGGAGGCAGATGCACAGCTATGTTAGGAGAGCCACACATGTTTGGGTCCAGGTCTGGGCCCTATAGGGTGTCAGGGAAACAGTATGGAGAAAACGGATTGAAGGTGTGATTTTGATCACTCTCCTTAGAGTGTTTATTTGCCCCACTACGTTGTTGTTGGTAGGATTTAGGCAAACCACCCCCAGGAGTCCCTCCAATCAAAGTCAGAAAGCATCACCTTTCGTGACTTCTGTGTTTGTGTTTTTGGAGAAGGAAAAACGAGGAGAAGAAGATGAACGTTGGAACTCAAACTTCTGGCCAACAGACTTATAAGATTTGAGAAAACGGCAGTTCCCTTCTCAAAGGTTACGTCGTTTCACAAAACTCAAATTCAATTAATTATCTGAAATTAATTAAATAGCCAAAAATTAATATGTCAAATTAAATAGCCCACACTTTTTCCAAAATCCCACTAACCACTTTATCCAATAACTAAAGTGGAAAGCAAACTTAAAAACAACTTGCACTTTCCTTCTCCCACCAATGTGGTATTTCCTTTACTCTTTTGACTACTCTAACATAGGCTGTCACACGAAATCACTCCATATACTAAAGCTTATGTTATCAATCTAAACTAATTGGACAAATAGATGAGCTATCTTCTCAGGTTTCTATTTTGGATATGGACTTCCAGGGTTTTTGTAGGTGTGATGATTGATTCTGCCGCAACGAAATCCTTGATTGGTGTTCTCCCTTTTTCTACAAGCACATAACATTGTCAACTAATTTCATAATAGACTCCTCTTCATCATATAAAAAATCAATTTATCCGAACAACTCAATTTGTTCGACAAGTTCAATTTTGCATCTTATATATTGTTACGAGCAAAATCCCTCCAACCCGAGGCCGCACACTTCCTTCAGTTCCACCCAGTTTCTCTCACCTTTTCCCCCTAACAAAAGCCCTTAACCGATTCCGAGGTGACCAGCCTGGCGGTTCGCAAGTCAGAGTTCACAATTTTTGGGCTCTCTTGGGGGCTAAGATCAGGTGACTAAGGGGGTCCCTTAGTTACATGGCTAAGTGAATCTCAATCCTTCCACTTCACTAAAATCTAAAGGTTCAAATTAAATCAATTTAATGAAGGACAATGTAGTAATTGTATGATTATTTAATTTATTAACACAAACAATAAATAAAAATAAATAAGGCCGCCATGGCTACCTCCTCTCGTCCGCAGTCCCCGCCGGTAACTTTTACCTCCGGCGATCGCCGAGAATTTTCACCTCCGGTGTGAGCTTATTTTGGCCAGAGAGAGAGCCGGTCACTGGGGAATACTCCCTGGGCCGCTTTGGGAATTTTTGGCCCCTTACGCCCATATTGGCCCCTTCCACCACGAGAGAGAGAGAAAGAGAGAGAGAGAGAGAGAGAGAGAGAGAGAGAGAGAGAGAGAGAGAGAGAGAGAGAGAGAGAGAGAATGATTTCCTGGCGCGTCTACGAAGAGGATTTTTGCGATAATTGGGGATTTCTCGGCGACAATGTCACTTTATTATGTTTGTCGGACTATTTTGTAATTTTTGTAAATCTCGTTTGTAATTTTGTATTAATTTGGTTTGTATCGTTTATTATTCTAGTTTGTCATTTTTATCTTTATGTTTGTAATGTTTATATGACTAATTTGGTTTTTATCTTTAATGTTTATATGACTAATTTGTATATATTATAATTTGTAATGTTTTTTATTTGTTTTGTATACTTTGTATTTATTGGTTTATAATTTCAGTTTATCGATTTGTATTATAAGTAGTGGTATTTTGTACGGTTAATATGGTTTGTACTATTTGTCGGTTTATTTTTTAATGTTTGTTGGTTTTTTTGTAATGTTTGTAAACGTTGTTATTTTTGTTCAACATGTTTGTCATTTTTACTAAACATACAAACCATACAAATCACACTGAAATTATGTACAAAAATACTAACAATACAAACCGACAACACTTGATCACAAATCACCGTTCTTCCTCTCTCTCAATCGTTGTTGCCGCCGTCGAATCTCTTTCCACCGCCGCCGCAGCTGACTCTCTCTATTGCCGTTGCCACCTCTCTCTCTCCATCGCCGCACCGCCTCTCTCTCCTCCATCGTGCCGACGCTTTCTCTCCGCCGCCTCTCTCTCTTCCACCATCGTCTCTCTCTCTCCTCTGTTTTCGACGACGACGACTAGATCTGCTTTCTCTCTCTCCAAGGCTGCCGCCTCTGTCGCGATCTCCTTTCCCTCTCTCCACAGTCGTTGGCGCCATCGAGATCTCCATTGTCGTCGTCGCCGTCGAGATCTCCATTGACGTCGTCGCCGCCCTCTCTTCCATCGTCGTCGGTGTTGGCATCGCCTCTCCTCCAGCGTAGCGCCGCCACCATCTCTCTCTCTCCATCGTCGCCTTTCTCTTTCTCTCTCTCCTCCACCGGCGTTGCGATCTCTTTCCTCCGCCATGGCTTTCTCTGTCTCTCTGGACATCGCAAAAAAGGGAAAAGGAGGAGACGGTTGCAAAGGGGGAAAAAATAAATCAATAATAATAAATAACACAAAACCAAAAAATAAGATTTAATAAATTATTGATAATTCCAAAACTACCCTTCTCATTTAATAATAATTTATTAATTTATCTAGACCATCAGATCAATCCAAAGGCTGAGGGGCATTGTCAAGTTAATTAGGACCCCCCCTTAGTCACCAGATCCGGACTCCTCTCTTGGGCCTGCTCCATAATGTATTTTTCATTTTTTCTCTATTTCCCCGAAATATTTATTGAGTCATGGGCTCTTGACCCTTTCCAGTAGGGGTGGGCATTGGTGCGGTCGGAAATTTTTTTTGATTCCGCATAATTTTTCGAGATCTTGCAAGCCACAAACTGCCGTAGACGGTTTGGTCCCGCCTTCGTCCCGAAAAACGTCGTTCGCTACCCCGCCTTTCTCTAGAGCGGTGATGCAATCACCGCCTTCCTCTACAGCGATGATGCAATCACCGCCCTTCATTCATGTGGTGATGCAATCACCGCCTTGCTCAGACGCGGTGAAGGCCCAAACATGCGTAGATTGGGAAATATTTTCATAACGTGTGTATTTTGAGAATTTTTTTTAAAAACATGTGTACAGTGGGATTGTTTCCACCCTTTCCCTATAATTAATGGAAACCGTCACTCTGTCTCAATCAACCAACGCTCCGTCTTTCAAATCCAAGTCACAGTACGACTCTGCCCCGCCGCCATAGATGGACATTGCGATCCTAAGCCATGATGATAATCAGTCCCTCAGTGCCAATGGGAAGATCCAGCCAGCAAGATTAGGCGGAGAAACAAGGAAATGGTGTGAGAGTGATTGTTTCTTTTACCTGCCATTTTTTCTTTCGTTCTCGTAGAGGAATGTTATTGCTTGTTTGCTTCATTGCCTACTGAGAGAGAGAGAGATAGATAGAGAGAGAGAGAGGGGGGGGGGGGGGAAGTGAGGGGAAGATGGTGGGAGGAGGTCAATTGGATTCAAATTGGAATACAGAGTCTACAATGTGAATTCCATTATCTAGTTCTTGAGGGAAGGGGAGAGTAGTTATGCTTCTATTGCAGGAGAAAGTAGAGTGGATGCTCCTGGAGTTGTGATCGTGAGAAGTATAATTTATAATAAGTGCGGTCAAAAATGCGATGCGGTTTAAACCGCACCAAATTACTAATTTAGGCGGTTTGGTTTGACCGCACCAATAATATTGCGATCCGACATGCGGTGCTGTCCAATTGAATGCGGTGCGATGTGGTTAATATCTATACAGTGCGGTGCGGTCCGAACCGCACCGATGCCCATCCCTACTTTCCAGGTCCACTTAACTTTTTCATCAAGTGGTGTAAAACGATCTGGAACAACAACAAAAGGCTGGGCTTGTTTTTTCTCGATGGCTTTCACGAGAAAATTTATTAAAAAATAGAACTAAAGTTGGGCATCAAAATAAGTCTATTGAAGGTTGGGCTTGATTTTTCTTCTTGCAATATCGGTTTATTTTAATAATTGATATTTTCCTTCTCATTGATAATAACCAACAACTTTAACATATTCTAAGAGAAACCTAGATGACGCCACATCCCAATCCACAAGAACATAGTACAAATTGATAACACTACACAATGCCATACTAATCCTCCAGATTGAAGCAAGTCAATCGAAGGTAAGGAAACTACTTCTCACATCCCAATGACATAATTTATTTTAAACATTAAAAAGGAGGGTTAATTGCAAGGATGGTCACTGGGTTTACTAAAACCGTTCATGTTTGGTCACTGCAAATATTTAATTCCATTTATGGTCACTAAGATTAGTTCAATAGTTCAAGATTGGTCACTCTCCGTTAGTCTCCGTTAGTTTTTGCTGATGTGGCAGTCAACTATTATAGTTGACCGTTAAATGAGTGACTTGGCCAATAAAAAAATAAAAATAAATAAATATTTACAATTTCCACCTCATTTTACAACTATTAAAAAATAAAAATAAAAATAAAACTTACCTCCAAGATCATGATGTGGACTCGATCCTCCCTGCTTTCCCCTGCGCCCACTGCAGATTCTGGCTGCCTACGGAGAACTCGCTCGGGTCATCGGCGCAATTATTCGGATTCAAATTCTCTACACTTGCCGGCTGCCGCGGAGACCGATTCTCCCGCTCTGCTACCCCCTCTGATCGGAATCGTTGAAATCAGCTTCGGGGCCGCCCTGGAGATGGTATTTGAAAGAACTCTCTTCAGTTTCTTAATTAAACTTATACCTTTCCTCTTGGGCTTGGTTTCAGTTTCTTCGACTCTGAAACTCCCGTGGGATAGGCTTCTCTGCAGCTGGCCGCTGCTCTGTTTCTGGGTTTCGTCCTCGATGGGGCCAAAGTAGATGTCGGCCCGATCAATCGGCCCGGAGAAGAATCCGCGCTCGATTGGACCCGACAAGAACCCGCGCTCGATTGGACCCGAACCCGGGACCAGGACGGCGGAAGACGGCCCCGAGAAGTGGAGGAGCTGGGTCCGCGGGACGGGTTGGAGAGGAATTGAAGCGAATGAATCAGAGCTCTCGAAAGTGGAGGCACGGTCCTAGCCGGAGCTGTAAGTGGAAGATTCGGTGAGGACGTTGGAGAGAGTTGTGGAAGTATTTGCGCTGACGGAGGCGCCGGAGATTGATCGGAAGGTGGTGGTCTCGTCGGAATAAAGATTTGGGGCCGAAATCCGACCTGGGTCCACATCAAGAATTTTAAATAATTGTAAAATGAGGTGGAAATTGTAAATATTTAAATTTTATTTTTTTATTATTTTTTTATTGGCCACGTCACTCATTTAACGGTCAACTATAATAGTTGACTGCCACATCAGCAAAAACTAACGGAGACTAACGGAGAGTGACCAAACTTGAACTATTGAACTAATCTTAATGACCATTAATGGAATTAAATATTTGCAGTGACCAAACATGAACGGTTTTAGTAAACACAGTGACCATCCTTGCAATTAACCCTTAAAAAGGAAACACATAAATTATACGACTGGGCTTGCTGGCCGAGCGAATGGTGGATGGGCTGATTAGTTCAAATGGGCTGAATGTTGAGGCCCAGCTGTTCACCTAAACAAAGCCCAAAACCCAAGTTAGCTTCATTGAGCCTCACAGGATTCTAAGAGAAGAATAATTCTGAAGAACAACAGAGTTGGAAAATTTCTATATTTCCAAATGTACTAAAAAAAAAGAAAAGAAAAGAGAGTTGGAAAATATTTACCAGAAACCAGAGTTAGGACCTCATTGAGGCGGAGGAACAGTCATGGCCACAATGGGGCTCGAAACCACATGTCCGTGCTGATCAGTCCACCGCAGAAAGCAATAGACCTTTTCCGGGGAATCTTCTTCGACGTCCAAAGTGACCGAGAACTTCTTGGTCTCTTTGCGGCAATGAAACGACAGCCTTTTCGGCTCCACTTTGATTCTCATCGTCGGCGGGACGTTTTCCAGGGTTGCTCTGTAAACAGACTTTCCCTCTCCCACATTGGTTAGAACCCTTCTAAACTTCACCGTTCTCCCCGGACCCTTGTCTCCAACCTTGATCGTCGTTGTAGTCAGAGAAGGGTAATTCAAGTCCTCCACTTTCAATTCGGCCCTGCAATGCCAACCGCGCTGCCTCAAGATGGCGTTGATTTGCTTCTCCGTGAAATTCTGGCCGCACAGAAAATCCACGTAATCCTGTGTTCTGAGGTCATAGACGAGCCCCGGATCCATGGCTCTCTTTAGATCGATATGACCAGCCCTGAATTCGGCCGGGGTCATTGGTTCATCTGTTTGTTGCTCAGTGAAAATCTTACCGGTGTTGTCCACAACATAGGCCGTGGTCATTAGAGCCGATCTAATGGCAGCCGGGGTCCATTCAGGATAGACGGACTTGAGCAGAGCCGCAGCACCCGCGACGTGTGGGGCCGCCATGGATGTGCCCGTCAACAGGCCGTAATCCGTCACCACACTGTATTCTCCAAGAGATGTGTATGGACGTTCGCGGGAGAAGGCTGCCAAGATTTGGTGACCGGGCGCCAAGAGATCCGGTTTCAGAATGCTTGGATTGACCGCGTCTGGCCCTCTCGAGGAGTAAAGGGCCACCTTGGGAGCTGGTGTGCCACCAAGTTTGGTCAATCGAAACCTCAAGCTCTGCACTTTGGCTCCCCCCGGAGAACAAGCTATGTAGTTCCGCACTGTATCCCCTGACCCTTGGGACAGGGCTATCATTGGGAAGTAGCCCTCGTCGGGGTGAAACAATGTCTCTGGATGATTGGTCACCAGCAATCCGCCAAATGCCCCTGAATCAAGAAGGTCTGGTGCTGTGTGAATCCCTTCCGGGTCAACGTCATCAAACAGCACAATCTTCCCAGCAACCTCTGATCGATTTAGCGAGGAACTGCCACATCCGAGCTTGCTCTGGCAGTGGTACAGCGGAACATCAGCAGCAAAGATATCGAGTTGGAAGAAGGAATACTGTTACGGACTACGTATGTTGAGATTTATACGTAGCCCATCTATTAATTTGTGAGGACTGTTTTGCACTTATCCCTAGTTGAGTGTGATGTACAGGGATATTGTGTTTCTCTATATATAGGCTACCGAATGCATGGGCAGGGATATATGAGAGAGTTTTCAAACCCTAATAATAAAACCTAAGCCGAAGACCCCTTGAGTGGGTCTTCCGTGGATTAGTCTTGCTCACAACGAGCAAGGATACCACGTAAATCGCTGTGCATTGCGCTACTCTTCTCAATATTTTACATGGTATCAGAGCTGTGAGCTGAGATTCACGGCGTTCTAAACTCCCATCATGAGTTCCGATGACGAAACAACGATGGAGACGAAGCTAAAATCGGCGACCTCACCGTCGAGCTCTGCCGGCGTTCCAGGCTTCCCGCCGACCTTCGTTCTCCACAACTCAGACAGTCCCAATCAAGTTTTTGTCGGCGAGCTCCTCACCGACTCCAACTACAACGAATGGCTCGGTGACATCACCGATTCTTTCATCGCCAAGAACAAACTCGGATTTGTTGACGGCTCGATTCCACAACCTGCTGCTGGTAACCTTCGCGATCAATGGAAAATTTGCGACGCGATGGTAAAGGGCTGGCTGAAGTCGGCGATGAGCAAAGAGATCCGCTCTAGCGTCCGTTTCGCCAGCACCGCTCGTGATATTTGGTTGGATCTTGAGGCACGGTTCGGCCAACCTAGTGCACCTCGGCTCTACGAGCTTCGGGTAAGATTAGTGCTCTTCAACAAGAAAAGTCCAGTGTCTCTGGTTTTTATACTAAGCTGCGGGGGCTATGGGATGAAATCCAATCCATCTCCCCCACTCCTGATTGCAATTGCGGTGGCTGTACTTGCGATGTGAAGCGCAAGTACCGTGACACTAAGAACAGTGAACAATTGTTTGATTTTCTTATGGGATTGGATGAGGCCTTCTCGACTGTTAAGACTCAGATTTTGGCTATGCGCCCAATGCCTAGCCTTGGTGAAGCCTACCAGCTCGTGAGCAATGACGAGCAGCAACATCGGATCGCCCAGTCGCGGCGCCCTACTGTCGAAGCAGCTGCCTTTCATGCTGCTGATGACCGCTCTTCCTCTCGCGGTTCATCGAAGACTTCTGACTCCACCAAGCCTCGTTACTTTTGTGATCACTGTAAGAAACCGGGACATTCCAAGGAACGATGCTTTGAACTTGTGGGTTACCCGGATCGATCATCAGCTCGTGGGGAACGTGGTGATCGTGGGCCTCGATCAAAGGGAAGTGACCGTGGAGGGGGCGATCGTGGGAAAGGCTCCCCTCACGCAGCCCAAATTGAGACTCGCACCAGTCCCATTCCTGGCCTAACAGTTTCACAGTTTGAGCAGCTCAAAAATCTGTTCGGTGGCGAGATGAGGGCCGCGTCTACTCCTGCCGATAAAGCGACAGGTAATGGTTCTCTTCCCTCCACCATACATGATGAATGGTTAATTGACACGGGCTGTAACGAGCACATTGTGAACAATTCGAAGTTAGTTCTTGGGTCACATGACGACCCGGGTTTGCAAGTACGGGTCCCCGATGGTTCTAGTATTCCGGTGACTTGCATTGGTGAAGTTCGGCTATCTAATGGGCTAGTGCTGCCTCGTGTTCTGTTAGTTCCGGAATTTAAATGCAACCTGTTATCTGTTAGTCAGCTTACTCGGGATTTTTCTCTGGCTTTGATCTTCCTCCGCGACTTCTGTGTGATACAGGACTTGTCCTCGAGGATGATTATTGGGACGGGGCACCAAGTTGATGGCCTCTACTATTTACGGCTTTTTGAGGGGATTCGGCAAGAGATGGCTCATGCTGTTCGTGGTCATGGTTCGGCCGATCTGTGGCATTCCCGGCTGGGTCACCCATCATCAGAAAAACTGGATTTTTTGCATTTAATTCCTGGCACTAGTAGGAACAATAAAAGTCTTTGCTCATCTTGTTTGCGAGCAAAGCAATCCCGTTTGTCCTTTCCTTCCTGCGCAATTCGCAGTACTCGGCCATTTGAGATTGTTCACATTGATATTTGGGGAGGTTACAAAGTTCCTTCTTTGAGTGGAGCTCAATACTTTCTTACTGTGGTTGATGATTACTCGCGTGGTGTCTGGATTTATTTACTGAAGTTTAAGTCTGAAGCTTCCAAGTACTTGAAGCTTTTTGTGAAGCAGGCATCTCGACAGTTTAATGCCTCGGTCAAGGTGGTGCAGACTGATAATGGGACTGAATTCCAGTCCCATGAGCTAATCGATTTCTATAATAATGAGGGAATTCACCTGCAGACTTCTTGTGTTGACACTCCTCAGCAGAATGGGATTGTCGAACGTAAACATCGTCATATATTGGACACGGCACGAGCTTTGCGCTTTCATGCCAACTTACCGAAGAAATTTTGGGGTGAATGTGTTCTCACTGCTGGTTACTTAATTAATCGTCTTCCGCACAGCTCTCTTGGCAATCAAACTCCCTATGAGCGGCTGTTTGGGAGGCGGCCCACTTACTCGCATCTCCGCGCATTTGGCTGCCTCGTATACTCCAAGGATACTCGCCATTCCCTCGATAAATTTGGCGAAAGAGGACGCCCCTGTGTTTTTCTCGGTTACCCCTCATCTCAGAAAGGTTACCGTGTTTTTGAGCTGTCCTCTCAACGCCTGTTCACCTCCCGTGATGTCGTCTTCGAGGAAACGACATTTCCCTTCCACGCCTTGGCCAGTGACATCTCGCCCGGTCCGTTGCCTCCACCCTTCACCCCGGTTCCCGCGGACAGCGACGATGAAGCTGCTGAGGATACGCCTGCTGCCATCCCTTCAGCTCCTCTTTCAGCTCCCGCGAGCTCCCCGACCTCGGCTGCGGACTCGGTGCCTTCACCCAGTCCTTCCCCTTCGTCTGCGGATGCTGGGGCCAGCTCCTCCTCGTCTGAAGAGGCCACGCCTAGCCTCTCCTCCCCAGCTGAGACGCCTTCTACGACTGAGGCCACGCCTGAAATTTCACAGCCTCCCCCTCGGCGCAGTAACCGTGTTCGCCAGCCCTCCATTCGCCTTCAAGGTTATGAAACTCATTTTCCAACTTCTCATACTGCAGATGTGAAATATCCCTTGTCTGCTTATGTCACTTTCACTCGTTTGTCCGCTAATCATCGTGTTTTTGTGTCAGCGGTTGATGCCATCGAGGAACCGAAATTTTTCCATGATGCCGTGCGCCTGGCCTGCTGGCGTGAAGCTATGCAGCGTGAAATTGCTGCTTTGGAAGCAAATGGTACTTGGGAACTACAGGATTTGCCGTCTGGCAAACGTGCAATCTCCTCTAAATGGGTCTACAAAGTCAAGTTTCACCCTGATGGCAGTGTTGAGCGGTACAAAGCTCGCTTGGTCGCCAAGGGGTTTACCCAGATCGAAGGGGTCGACTATCACGACACCTTTGCCCCCGTTGCCAAGCTAGTAACCGTTCGTTCAGTCTTGGCCGTGGCTGCCCACCGTGGCTGGCACCTTCATCAACTTGACGTTAATAATGCCTTTCTTCACGGTGATCTTGACGAGGAGGTCTACATGAAGCTCCCTCCTGGGTTTGCTAAACCGGGGGACAACCGAGTATGTCGCCTGCGCAAATCCCTCTACGGATTGAAGCAGGCATCACGGAACTGGTATATGAAGTTCACTCACTCGCTCCAGCAGTTTGGGTTTCACCAGTCGAAGGCTGATCACTCTCTTTTCACCTATCGACATAATGGAGCTTATGTTTTTGCTCTTATCTATGTGGACGATATCATCCTTGGCGGTGATGACCTGGGTACTATTCAGCGTGTCAAGGACTTTCTGCATGAACAGTTCAGCATCAAGGATCTGGGAGTGCTCAAATATTTCTTGGGCATTGAAGTTGCTCGTTCTCGCACTGGACTAGTGTTGTCTCAAAGGAAGTATGCTCTTGACATTCTGAAGGATGCTGGTGCATTAGCCGTCAAGCCTTGTGCTTTTCCGATTGAACAGAATCATCACCTCACCAGAATTGAGGGCCCTGCTGCGAAAGATCCTTCAGGTTTCCGTCGTCTTGTTGGACGATTACAGTACTTGACTGTTACTCGACCTGACATTGTCTATGCAGTTAACATCCTCAGTCAGGCTGTGCATTCCCCACGACAGGAGCATGAGGATGCAGCTCATAGAGTGTTGCGTTACCTTAAGGGGGCGCCTGGGCGCGGACTTCGTTTTCCCACGACAGGCAAGCTTAGTTTGACTGCTTATTGTGATGCAGATTGGGGCGGTTGTCAGAGTACACGTCGCTCCACTACTGGGTATTTTATACGACTGGGAGACTGTCCGATCTCATGGCGAACCAAGAAGCAGTCAGTTGTAGCTCGTTCGTCAGCTGAAGCAGAGTATCGGGCAATGGCCAGCACTGTCAGCGAGCTTGTTTGGCTTCGCTGGTTGCTCAATGATTTGGGAGTCGCTACCACGGCAGCAACACCGTTGCATTGTGATAACCAGGCAGCTTTGCACATTGCAGCTAACCCGGTTTTCCATGAACGCACCAAGCACGTGGAGATGGATTGTCATTTTGTTCGTGAGCGCGTGACTTCTGGTGAGATAGCCCCGCAGAAGATTTCGTCCCATGATCAAGTGGCTGACATGTTCACCAAGGGTCTCGGTGCGGACCAGTTTGCTTTTCTGACTTCCAAGCTTGGCATTCATGACATTCATGCCTCCGCTTGAGGGGGCGTGTTACGGACTACGTATGTTGAGATTTATACGTAGCCCATCTATTAATTTGTGAGGACTGTTTTGCACTTATCCCTAGTTGAGTGTGATGTACAGGGATATTGTGTTTCTCTATATATAGGCTGCCGAATGCATGGGCAGGGATGTATGAGAGAGTTTTCAAACCCTAATAATAAAACCTAAGCCGAAGACCCCTTGAGTGGGTCTTCCGTGGATTAGTCTTGCTCACAACGAGCAAGGATACCACGTAAATCGCTGTGTATTGCGCTACTCTTCTCAATATTTTACAAATACCCTTCAATCATTGCTCCGTTTGACAGAACGATTTGCGCTGTGAAGCTCCTGTCGACGGTGCCGGCCCCCACGGTCGAGATCCACGGTGCTCCATTTTGGAGAGCCCAACGAGCTGGATTGTTAGCAGCCGCTGCAGCCACAAAAATCCCTCTGTCTACCGCTGTAAGCGAGGGCATGGAGATTGCATCTTCATACGGAGAAGGAACATCGACGCCGATGGACAAAGATATGACATCAACGCCGTCACCCATGGCTTGGTCGAATGCTGCCAGCACATCCACACTAGACGGATTTTCACTTTCTGAATTGGCCACTGCGTAAATAGCAATGTGAGCACGAGAAGCAACTCCCCTGGCTGTGCCTTTCGCGTGGCCAGAATAACTCGCGCCTGGGACGAAGTTGCCGGCAGCTGTTGAGCATATATGAGTCCCATGGCTTAAGGACTCGTCGCTTGCTGAACCGGGGCCTACTTTAGTTCCTTTGAGGAATAATCGAGACCCAATCAGCTTCCGGTTGCAGTACGAAGGCTTGAAGTGCTCTGCCTCTTCGCACTTCCCCTTCCACTTCTCTAGAACGGCTGGCATACCTTGGTCATGGAAGCTCTCGCTTGATGGCCAGATTGCTGTGTCGATAACTCCTACGATCACTCCTTCGCCGTAAGAGGAATTCAACCACAACCCCGAGTCATGACTCAGCCCGATGAACTCCGGAGTGTGGGTAGTGAGGAGCTTCCCCAATGTCTCCGGATAAGTGGCAACATGGGCTGGCCACGTCTCTATCTCGGAGAGTTGAGCTTCTGTCAATCTACAGCTAAACCCATGCATAACATGAGTGTAGCTGTAGAGGAACATCTCTTCGTCGGCTATGGGGTTTGCTAGTGATTGTAGGAGGGAAAAGTGCCATGATTGGTGGTTTGGGAAAGGTGAGGGCTTCTGGAGATCATGCTCCAGCTGGACAATGTAGGTTTGGTGTTGGGGATGAGGTTCTGCGTGTGCTGTAGCACAAGAGAGGATGGACAGGAAGTTGAGAAGAAGAAATAGAGTAATGGCAGCCATTATCAAAGAATAAAGATGGTTGAAGTTTGAGGATTGAAAAAATGAGGTGCAGTTATGACATATTTATATGCAAGGTGGCACAAAGCAACCTTGGTAGTAAGAAAATGTGGGAAGGCAGGAAGACTATGTCATCTGTAAATGGGGTGAAGTTATGTTTAGGTCCAAGGAGTGTGATCTCATAAACAGGGAAGGCAGTTGCAGCAGGTAGTAGCAAAAGATTGCAGAGAATCAGAGATGACAGAGTGACACAAAGCAAATTGGTGAGAAGAAAAGAAGGGAAGGCTTGAAGACTGTGCCATCCCCAAATAAAGGAAGTGCTTGGTAGCAACAGAAGAATCCAAGATGATGATGATGGTGTGGGAGAAAGCCATTTTGGTGGGAAGGCTTGAAGAATGTGAGCTTCTGCAAATGGGGGGAAGTTGTTTCAAGGTGGAAGCCTTCCATTTGCAGAAGCTCACATTCTTCAAGCCTTCCCACCAAAATCCGTGGACCCCACGGATTTGTAAATCCCACATTTCATTTGGGATTTGACAATAGAAGGAAAAAATGTGAGACAAATCCATCACAAATCCATAATAAAAAATCAACTAAACAAACAATGTACTCTTCTAAATCCATGATGCAACAAATCCATCATAAATCCAAAGGTTTTTAATACTCAAAACCGTCATTTTCAAATCCAACAAGCAAACGAGCTCTTAGAGTATCAAAGATGATTCTGTGATGTTAAGAGATTAAGATCCTTCCATAGCAGCTCAATTTCTATTTTTCTTTTTAATTTTAGTCTTGTTACTTCCTTTCCTTGGTGGTGGACTGGTGGGAAACGTTGGCAGGTGGAAGGTGGATCACTCATCCATAGTAACCTACGTTGCCAGGTGGCAGGTGGACTCTCTCTTTTTTTTATTTTTTTTATTGTACTTGTGACTTTCTCTTTTTTGAGTTTTTCCTTCCCCTTCCGATTCGCCCTTCTCTGTCTCCGGTCATCTTCTCCGTTGGCGGCAAGGGGATTTGGGCATGGTGGTGGGTATTAATTTGGGGTCAGGGTCGGCGGCCCCACCCACACCTCGCAGAAGACTTCTCTCTCGTTTCTTGGAGAGGACAGAGTCTGTGAGCGACAGGCGACATGCGACAGGAGGTTGTGAAAGAGAGCTGCTAATCACTTCTTTGGTGAGTTATATCTAGAAAATTGTCTCTCCATTCCATTAAAAGGTGGGTACGCTTTATTAGGTGGGTACGCTTTATTGGCAAAAATGCTGGTTACTGTAGATTATTTTGTCGTCTTCTTAGGGCTGGAGAACTTCCTCGCCAATTTTGCCCGCCCTCGAGACGGCCTTCCTCCTTCCAGACCATGCTTCCCTCCACCTCCACTCCCAGAAATCCGCAGCCGTACATCATCTCCTGTCATCTCATCACTCTCGGATGCCTCGCCGAGTTGACAGTTCCTTGCGGCTGCTCCCACACGCCACCACTGCGGCCATCCTTTTCGTATTCGCAGTCCTCTCACGACTCATCCCAAAATCCGCAATTGCCGCGTCACCACTTCAGTCGTCTCCCTTACCCTCAGCTTTCCGGTTGCTTCTCGATGCTGCAAGTGCAACCTCTACAAACACGCCAGCTCCCATGAATTTTGGGCAGTCGCCCTTCTCTTCGAGGAAGACTTCTCCTCTCCCTCCATCTTTCTTTTTTCATCTGCATCTGCATCTTCAATTCAATTCTCTATCTCTCTTATCTTGGCGGCACAAGGGGCGTGAGCTACGGTGAATGGAATAAACCAGTGGGAGTCTGACGCCGGAGAAGGGGAAATTTATGCCGAGAGGGAAGACGAGGGAAATTGAACCCCCACCGTCGAGATCGGTTTCCTATCTCAAACCTGTGGATTCACTCATCCACTGGTAATTCCCAAGCTTGATGTCCGCTATAGTGATACCTGGATCCTGTTTGTGGTGGCCCGAAGGACAAGGATGACAACGGCAATAACGAGCTCTTTACTACCTAAGTTGTGCCAATATGAAGCGGAAGGAGCTCGGAATCCCACAAACAGGTATGCTTTGGTCTTCCTCTTTTTGTTTTCGTACTGGGTTCCTTTTAAGATTCTCCATTCCCTTTATCATCTTCTTTACTCCCATCTCCATGGACTGCTTTGTACCTTGACCGACCCCGTCGTTCTCGAATGAGAATGGATAAGAGGCTCGTGGGATTGACGTGAGGGGGTAGGGATGCAATGTTGATGCGTTGGTGTTCCTTTGTGCAAAAATCAGAGGCTTTGAAGTTGAGATTGAACCGAGGAACGGTTGTTTTTCACAATTCAAGGACAAGTATGTCGAATGATGGTGGAAGAATGGGGTATGTTTGATCTCTTTTCCTTGGTAGCTCATGATCTCCTCTTTGTTTTTGTTTGGCCTGTATCATGGTGTTTGATGCTTGAAACTCTTACACTTGGATGAGATGTAAGCAAGTTTCCTGCTATTTATGCAGTAGGTCGTGTGATTGCCGAAGAGGAGTCAGTGAAATAATCAACTTCATATACAAATGATGAGATTGTAGTTTCTGAACAACTAACCGGGTAAGTTCAACTCTATCCTCAATGTACTAAAAATATTGTTCATGCTGAGAGAAAAGTTCCAAGCTTTTGTTACTTTCTTGACTTCTACTTGCTGGTGGTTGGTGTTCTTGACTTCTACATTTCCTACCTGATGAAGATGGAGAGCCGGCAACAAGAAGCAATGGTTTCGTTACCTGGATATGTTTAGATGTTCAGTTGGTGGTGACTGACGCAGTTTTGGAGGCAATGACAGAGTATATGATGAAGTAGAGGAGAGAGAGGTCAGGAACGCCGTGAAGAATCAGAGTTACTTGGTTTATCAGGTGATTGATGGATTAAATGAATTCAGGGATGTTTAACCGAATTTCGTACTGCTGATGCGCTTGGTTTCAGTCTGGGAGGCTAAGAAAAGGTTTGTGGCAGGTAGATTCCACTTTGCCTCAACATTTAGAAACTTAAGCAAGAACACTGAATGAACTTTCCAAAACTGTTTCTTAGAATTGTTGCTTTAACAAGGACAGATAATTTCTTAATCGTAATTTATTTGCGGAGCTACGTACATTAGTGGGATCCTTAGACTTATGTGGTTGTAAAACAGCAAGCAATTCCTAAATGTTCAGGCGGCATAAGTAGCTCTATTTATTATTTGATCACATGAATTTACAATTTGCTAAGCTGTGATACTCCCATAATTATGTGGCTTCTTTTATAAATCTAATGCAGGTACCACCAACTAGGTCTCCAAAATGAATGGAAATGTGTGAGTATGCTCATGGTGATTGTGGGTTCTGAGAACTTATAGGTTTCTGGGTTTGTGATGCAGATTTATGTGGACTTTCATTTCCTTTCAGCATGATTATTATTTGTTATCTTCACATAGAAAGGTTGCTTTATTTACATAAGCTGAATGCTACTTATATTTTCCACAGCATGAGAGACAAGTCTTAGGGTCATACATTAACCATCTAAGTTCAGTTTCATAGAAAATGTTGACTTGATGAACAACAACGACAACAACAAGAGTTCCTCAATCTTGCAGCAAGATCTGCCACCAATTTTGGGGCTCGCGAATTGATTCAGACATATTGTTGTATGTCTCCATGTCTGAGCAAAAGAAAACTAGTAGAAGAATCCAACTGGCCAGCAGATTAATGCATTGGAGCAAAACATTAAGAACTTGCTATTCCCATCTACCTCACACACTTATTCAACACGCTCAACGATCCATACAAAGAAGGCGCTGCCTCTGTCCATGGGATTCCTTTTAGTAATAATTCCCATTAGTTGATATACTTCATTTCTTGCTGTTAGGTATGTCTCTTTTGTATCTTGCCATCGCAAAAGCATTGCTAACTGTATGGAATCTATCGAATTGTTATGGTTCTGTTAGTTTGATGTTACACGATTTCATATCGTTGTACTTTTGTTACACGATTTCATGGAATGAACGACGTTGATGTTAGTTTCAGTGAGTCATTAAGTGTTCAGCCTATGATTTTTTTTTTTGATAAAGCGCATCTAGCTTTCATTCACAACCAAACGAGTCTCAGAGAGACCCTGACAGTCATACAAAAGTATTTGCTGTAAAACAGGAGAAAAACTCGAAATACAATGAAACCCCCAAGCCAGCGAGTGGCCGAGATTAGCAAGGAAGTCTGCGCATTTGTTCGCCTCTCGATAGATGTGATAGACTCGGACCTCCTAGTCGCGAGTCGTTAAGTCTTGGAACCTGTCGATGATAGCAGCATGTTGGTGATCCCTATGCTCGTTACTGGTGAGAAGATGAACCGAGCATAGTGAGTCCAACTCAACATTCACCCGCCGATAGCCCATGTTCCAAGCCAGTTGAAGACCCTCTACCGCGCCCCTCAATTCTGCTCGGGTGATAGAACACGCACCCAAGTTATAAGCGAACGCTGTTAAACAACGTCCAGTGTGATCTCTAATCAGGCCACCTGCCGCTGCATGGCCTGAATCAGTAAGAACGGAACCGTCTGAATTGAGGGTGACCCACTCAGGAGGTGGCGGCTTCCACGAGATCTCCACCTCCGTTCTCATGGGCAGACGAGGTGTATGAACTAACCTGTCCTTGTCAATGGCATCCCGCACTACCTGTACCCATGCCATGACGCGCTGGTAGAAAGCTTCAACTGGAACAATCTTGTCCGCGAAGACTCGATCGTTTCTGGTCCGCCACAGAGACCAGCACACTAGGCCGAACTCGAGTTTGAAACTCTCCTTGTCAAGGTTGGAATAGATCCACTCCTGAAGATGACTGTCAAAGAAGCTTTGGTGATCAGAAAGCGGGACAAGCTGCAACCAAGTTAACCTGGCAAACTCACAGTCCCGCAACACATGCAGGACCGTTTCCGGGTGGTCTTTACAGAAGCTGCACACAGAGGATGAGGTCAGGTGCCGTCGGACTCTTTCGTTGTTGGTGAGAAGCCTTTCCCTGTACGCCAGCCAAAGGAAGTGAGGCACTCTCGCCGGCCCCTTCCATCTCCAAATTCTCTTCCACCTATCCTCCTGTTGATCCTCATCGAAGCTGGTGGCCAGGGTGTACGCAGCACCTACCCGAAATCTCCCATCACTTTCCGGACCCCAAGTCGGCACGTCCGCCCCAGCATCCGGTCGATGGGCCTGGACTCCCACTATCTGCAAAATCGTACTTTCATGAAAGAAAAGAGAGAGCTTAGGAAGGTCCCACTCACCCGCCATAGTTGCGAATTCCGCCACCGACAGTGATAGGTCCACCGGGGGGCAGTCCGCCTTTGTCAGATCTCCCAGCCTCTCCCTCGAGTCTATCCATCTGTCGGTCCAGAAGTTCGTGTCCAGAACGTTCTTGATGCTCATTTGAGTGCCCTCCTCCATAATGGGCCACGCTTTCATAATCCCGCGCCACACTGTCGACCTCCTGGCGCTCGATTTGGCCTGCAAAACCCCCTGATTAAACTTAAAGTATTTGGCTTGCAAGGTTCTTACCCAAAGTTCCTCTGGACTCTTCATAAACCTCCAGGCCAGCTTGGCTAGGAATGCCAAGTTCAGCTCATGTGCTTTTCGAAGGCCCAGCCCGCCTTCCTTCTTCGGTTTACAAACTTGGTCCCAGTGAACCAGGTGTATCTTCCGGGCTGAAGAGGACGATCCCCAAATGAACCGCCGCACCCTCCTGTCAATTTCGTCGCAAATTGAAATCGGGAGAAGGGTCGTTTGCATTGCATACGTTGGGAGGGAGTTGAGCACGGAGGTAGCCAGTGTGACTCTGCCTGCAAAACTAAGAGAGTCTGCTTTCCAACCAGCAAGTTTTTTGTCAATTCGGTCTAGGATATACTTGCACGTTTCTCTAGTAACCCGCCCATGCAACACCGGCACCCCCAGGTAACGCCCAAGATCCTGAGTGGTCGGAATGCCCATACTACGAACGATCGCAGTACTAACCTGTCGCGGCGTGTTCTTAGAGAAAAAAATCACCGATTTCTCTTTACTCACCTTCTGGCCCGACGCCAAGCCAAAGGTTTCCAGGCATTCCAGCAAGACATGACCCTGTTGTTCACTAGCTTCGGCAAAGAGGATCAAGTCATCAACAAAGAAAGAATGGGAAAGAGGGGGCGCACCTGGCGAGACTTTGATGGGTTTCCATCGGCCATCAGAGACCTCCTGCTCAATGAGCTGACTAAATCTTTCCATGCAAAGGGTGAATAGGTAGGGAGACAACAGGCACCCCTGGCGAAGTCCCCGCGAAGGAGTGAACCTCTTCGTTAAACTGCCATTCCACATAACCTGCATAGTGGAAGAGGAGATGCAAGCCATAATTGCCGCCACTAAGTTCTCCGGGAATTCAGCAAGCTTCAGCGTTTCCTCCACGAAGGCCCAGCTTAACCTGTCATAGGCCTTAGCCAGATCGATCTTCGCAACCATCTGACCTTTCTTACCTGTTTTCAACCCCATCGAATGAACCACTTCCTGCAGAAGAATGATGTTGTCCGTGATATGTCTCCCCGGCACGAAACTGGTTTGGGTGCTATGGATCAGCTGTTTCATGTAGGGTTTAATACGGTTGACTAGGCATTTGGTGAAGACTTTGTAAGAGACATTGCATAACCCAATTGGCCGAAATTGCGACACCAACTCCGGGCTCTCTTTCTTAGGAATCAACACTAGGATGGTTTCATTGACTGAAGCAATCACCTCCGGATTAGATAGGCAGCTGGCTACGAACTGCGAGAGCGAGAGAGCTACAGTATCCCAACATTTTTGGAAAAACACGGGTTGAAACCCGTCCTTCCCCGGCGCTTTCAAACTGCCCATGCTTTTAATGGCCCATCTCACTTCCTCCTGAAGGATCGGGCGAGATAGCGCCTGTTTCTGCTCCTGGTCAAGGCTCACAAAACTGCTGGGGAGACGAGGAGAGGCCCCCAGTTCTGCCAAGTATATTTCCACAAAGTAATTCCTGACCAGGTCCTTTAGCTCGACCTCGTCCTCCACCCAAGTTCCATCTTCCCTTCTAAGACACGAGATCCTGTTGAATTTGCGACGTTTAAGAGTGGAGAGATGGTAGAACCGGGTATTACGATCACCCTCCACAATCCAAATAGCCCTCGATTTCTGTAGCCACAGTAAACTTTCTTGCCATAGCGTGTTCTCTAACTCCAATCGAGTGTCCGTTTCCTCCTTTAGAGAGGCAGGTGATGCCGAGTTCTCATTACGGATTTCCAGGGCCCGGAGTTTCCTAACCAGCTGCTTCTTCCTCTTAAAAATGTTACCAAACACCTGCGTATTCCAAACTTTGAGCTCTTCCTCGAGAATCCCCATTTGCTGAGGGAGAACATTGGCTTTCCGCCAAGCATCTGTCAAAATATCACCGAACTGCTCGTGTCCTAGCCAAGCCGCTAAGAAACGAAAAGGGCGTCCACCCGATTGCATTTTGTCCGTTGTCGCTCGTATTAGAATCGGGCGGTGATCAGACCCAATTCTTTCGAGATGCTTCGTGATTGTCCCCTGGAATTTGACCAACCATCTTCTGTTACAAAGAGCACGATCCAGTCTTTGGTATAAGTTGCCCCTGCGCCAAGTGAACCTGGGGCCGGAGAAGTCCACTTCTAGCAGTCCACAATCATTAATACATTTTCTGAAGGGGCGTACTCGAGTTTCCTCAAACCGAGCTCCTCCCATCCGATCAGTCGGGCTCAGTATAGAATTGAAATCGCCCGCCAGTAACCACGGTAATCTCACTGACCTTTCCAGCCTTCGAATTTCCTCCCATAAATCAGCCCGTTTAGCCATGTTAGGACTGCCATAAACAGCCGAGAGAAGCACTTGGGAACCTGGCGACTGGCGTTTAGCACATTTGAAATGGATCATCTGCTCCCAAGCATTCACCGGAGTAACCACCAAATTTTGCTCCTGCCACAAAACCCAAATGCCACCTGAAAAGCCAGACGCATCCATCAGAAGTACCCCATCAAAGCCCGTGCGAGCAATGACTTTGCGGGCTCTATCCCCGCTAATACGAGGTTCAAAAATAAACACAATGTCGGGACGAGAAGTCCCACAAAAGGAAGACAAAAATGTCAAAAACTGGTCATTTCCTGCCCCTTGGCAGTTCCAAGAAAGTACGTCTAACATTAAATAAATGAGAGTTCGGTCACATTAGTCTGGCAGGATTAACTTTGTTGTGCTCTAGCCTTGCCAACAAATTAATTTGGTGTCAGGCTTTGAGAAATGCAAATTGTGATACTGCAGGCTGCTGAGGATGAGAATGGCTCGCAAAATGCATGCTCGCTTATACAAAATGCAAAGCTGCTTAGATCAGCGGCAGAAACTCTCCTTCGATGTCAGAACCCTGTTTCCAGACTTAGATGATAATAACAGGGCAGTAATGTTACCACATTCCTCATGCAGCTATGCTTTCTCAGTCACATGTTAGAATTTCAGGGTAGGAAACTAGAACTTTTTCTCTGAAGTTGATTCATTAACAACATATGTTGACAAGGAGCATGCTTCTACAACTGAGAATGGAAAGAAGTATCTTGCGTTGGAGAACAAGTCTGTGAAATGAGACTAGAATTAGAATCTGAACTCCTGCACAAAAGTGGACTCAAGCGAACGGTAACTTTCATTAAAGAGCTGAAGGCAAAACATGTTAGTTTTCCTATAATTTCACAAAGCTTTCATCTACAGTATTATCAAAGAAGCATTTATATGTTTTCATGATGCTCTTTCATTCTTCTGCTTAGTATCTTTCACAATGCAAGAAATGCAGTCTTATTATGCTTATGTTTCCTATTTTTTGGTCACAGGGGTCTCAAGTTCATCAGAAAGGCCGACAACAGCTCTGCATGGCTTGCTGTTGCGAAGACACAGTCTTATACTCCTTATCTCCTTTACCCTCAAATAATGTTCGAAATCATTTATGCAATTCGTGGCAGTATGGGAGCTCAGAAAAGCCTCCATATGCAAATATAGGTGTCAAAACATGACCCGACCCGAGTAATCCGCCCAACCAACCCGATCCGCGACCCGCCCGCAAACCGATTGGACTAAAAGTCAAAGACCCGCAACCCGCCCGACCCGCAACCCGCCCGACCCATAACCCACTTGACACGAAACCCGCTTGACCCGAACCCGATTGACCCGCAACCCGCTTGACCCGTAACTCGACTAACCCGAACCCGATTAACCCAACCCGAACCCGCCCGATTGGCACGAATAATACTACATAATATATTTTTGTGTATAAATATTATATGTAGATAATATATGTATAAAGTTGACGTGACTTGCCCTATTATTGTTTTCTTCTTTCCCACCAAGAACAAAGGTTTACTTTGTGTTGACAAATAAAAACTGCCATTCAGTTGAACCAAGTAAAAATAAGTTCCAATTGTAACAAAAAAATTGCGTGGACTAGTTGGCTTCTGTGATGGTCTTTCCAATTCAAGCTACATGCACTACAAGAAAAAACATAGTTTAGAGTCGGTTATTTTATGTGTTTAATGTCGGTTTCAACCGACACAAAAATATATAGTGTCGGTGCATTTAACCGACACAAAAACGTTCGA